TATATATATATATATATTAAAATAAATAAAATTTAAATAATGCATAAATATTTAAATAAATACAATTGTTTAAAATAATAACAATTAAGATTAAAATAAATAAACACTCATAAAAACCGTAGTACAATAATATACGGAGTAAACAAACACTTTATGTAAATTAAAAAGTAAATATATTTAAAATAATACGTTATATTGGCACAGTATACCTATTTAAATGAGTATAAAATTGGCTTTTATATATATATATAATGGATGGCTTATTTAATATTAATAAATGTGTGATTTTAGCGACATTTTTGCTACTTTTGCGTGATAAACAACTTAAGTCATCACTCAATATCCAATTCCAAAACTATTTCTTGAAGCAAAACCAGTTGAGAACTACTATAGATATAATGCGTTTACTAAAATCTATTTTAGGAGCATGCCATGAAACAAACTCACACAGACAACACATGCACAAGCTGTCAGACAGTGGAAAGCTCAAAATACAGATCAATAACAATTCATACCGTTATGAATCAATCACAATAGTATAATGAGAACAAACAAATGTCAAATGACTAACAGCATGTTTTATACATATCGATCATTATGCAAATATACAGTCATATTTGTTTTATAATTATGATATTAAGAAATTACATATTTATTACGAATATAATAATTATCCACTATGTCTATTATTGACATCGAACAAATAGGACTGACTAAAACAACAAAAACAAAACAATAACAGAGGAACCGTGATTTAGGCGTAAGGCCCTCAAATCTATAAAAAATAAGAATTTTATTATATTAAAGTACATCGAAGCACTTAATTCCGCTGTCGTTGTTAGAAATCAATTAGTTTTTCTGCTTTTACGAAACATAAACAAACACCAAAAATGTCTGACTAACTTTTGGAGCAACAAGTGACCACAAAACCGCACGCATCCAGATTGGACTTATAATACACTTCGTTAAATAAGATGTCAAAGTCTTCAAAAACATATTTAAACGTCTAAATAGGTGAGATTTATTAAGATGACTGAGTTTTAGCTTTATTTCCAGTTTAAGAGCGCGCGCTGGCTAGCGCTGCAAACACTTTTGAGTAAAACTCTGGAAAAGAATGATTTCAGAAGCTCTCCGCCGCTTACCTGCTGGGTTATCTGATTTATTATATCCTTGATTTATAGCAGGTTTTGAGGTAGGAATTACTGTTTGTGATGATAATCCGATATTTGGTGGAGTTTGTTTTTTCGGGATTGACGCATGTTTGAGGTTCCTCGGGTCACACTCCTGCTGCTGCGTCACATCCGCTCGGAATACCAGAGGAAAGGTGACCGGGACCGTATTCGTCCGCGGCACTATTTTCTCTCACACCCTCAAAGTCTTGACAGGTTTGTCGGTTTCATAACAGTCACAAGAGCTGATTTTGATGTAGAACTCAACTCAAAGAAATGAATGTTAGGTTTATTTGGGGGGGGGGACCAGAATAACAAAGTTATATCTCTGATCGAAAAATGAGATAAGATTAATAAATTGAAGAATTGTGCTGCGCCTCGATACAAGCCGCGCATTACGTCAGACGCGGGAAATGCGTGGAATGAGCGCAGCTGCTGTAAAGCCATGTGAATAAGAACTGCACATTATTTACCACAGTAAAACTCTGCTTTCTGTAAGGGTGTTTTGTCATGATAAGCAAGACTTTATCAGCTCTTGAGGATTTGCAGGTGTGTGATAAAACACAGTGTTGTCATATTTGTGCCTGGTTACCTGTTAAACTTTTAAGTGAGTATTTAAGTTTAATGTTTGGTTAACTTTTGCTGATATGATTCATTCTCGAGGACTAATTAAGGTGTACAATAAACAAACCAAATGTGATTGCAATAGCATTTAATTATCTTTATCCAGTGTTATAAATAGTAAACAGTAGTCAAGTCATTTGAAAATATAAAAATACATATATATACATATGCACAGTTAGAAGTGTTTCATTTCTCAGTAGTTAAAAGGCAAATTAAATCAACAGCTGCTAAAAGAAAACTGTTAATTAAATTGTATATTTCAGTGTAAAAACACGTGTTCAAAGTACAAATAACTGTGTAAGCCACTCGTGGTTACCTTTACAGACAGCTTTCTTCTGATCACTAAACCAATCTACCTGAATACTGCAATATTTAATCTTAAAAAAACTAAAACAAATGACTGTATTTGAGACAGACACAAGCTTTTGATTAATTATGAGTCTTTCAAAATTTCTTCCAGTTTAAATAAATTCCACTATATCAAGTGCATCACTGAATATGAATACTGCACTTGTACATGTTGTGTAAAAGTAAACCAATTCAAAGTAGTAAAACTAAGTCACAAACGGTTTTGCATTTCAAAAATCTCTTGAATCCTAACCAGACTACATAACCAATAAATGCCCAAATTGAGAGCTGAAAAATTCAGGAAAGTAATGAATACTGCACATAACATGCTGAAATACTGTATAACTATCACTTCATGGAACACACGTGGTGTTTCTGTATAAAAGTAAAATAACATTAAAAAAGTAAACAAAACAGAAATCTGAAATTCTGCAGAAACTGCACACAATTACAGTGTGACAAAGCAAAAATCAGTGTGCTTTTATGAGTTAAAACTCATCATCGCTGATGTCTCCTCTCGTCTGCTCCTGTTCAAACACTTGCTGTCGAGGTTCTGACACACTTAAAGACTCCACCATGATTTTCCCAAGTTCATCAACCTGTTCTGACACCTCATTATCGTCTGCAGTGTTCCTGGGATTGAGATGTGTGTCATCATTCAGGGAGATCTCGCTGCCTTCATTACAGTCCTCCAGACCGGCTCGACTGTGGTTCACAGGTGTGGACGCTACAGCGGGAGTGACGTCCTCGCTCTGGCCTCGGTCCACGTTAAACACTTTATGAAGCAGATCATCACCATCATCTGATGGCAGCATCTGATAGATGACAGGACTGTACGACGTGACGGCGGCAGCAGGGGGACTTCGCAGATCCTCCTGCAGATTGTCTAGAAGGTGCCGCATTTTGTTCTGTTGGGAATATTAGAGAGATGGACGTCTGTGAGTGAACGAGAAATGAAGTGATGCCGAGGAGTTTGAATACGGAGTGATAAGTCACATGTTCAAAAAGATGCTTGGAACTGAGTGCCATATAATGAAATGTTATGTAATGAAATGCAAAAATATTCATTTATTAATAGAGTACAATTTTTAAATTATGACATTTTATTACAATTTCAAATCACTGTTTTCTATGCGAATATCTGTTAAAATGTAATTTATTCCAGTGATCAAAGCTGTATTTTCAGCATCATTACTCCAGTCTTCACTGTCACATGATCTTCAGAAATCAGTCTAATATGCTGATTTGCTGCTCAAGAAACATTTCTGATTATTATCAATGTTGAAAACAGTTGTGCTGCACAATATTTTTGTGGAAACGGTGATACATAGAAAGAAAGCTCAAAAGAACAGCATTTATTTCAAATAGAAATCTTTTGCAACATTATAAATGTCTTTACTGGCACTTTTGATCAATTTAATGCACGCTTGCTCAATAAAAAAATATTTCCTTCAAAACAAAAAATAAATAAATAAAATACACTAAAATACGGTATTTTAAAAACGACTGCTAAATCCAGTCCATGAAAATACATTACACATCTTAATAAATCTAATATTAAGTGTGAGCACAAATATCCCATGTTATTGCAATAATAAAATAAGATAATGAAGAATTGTTTGTGTTTTTCCTCAATTACATCACTTTGTATAAAAGCATCAGATTAATGAAATGTAAAATCCAAAATGCTCACCTCATCTAATCGATGTCTGTTCATATCAATGTGACGTTCAAACACTCTCTTCAGTACCCTGAACAGGCCGATACTTCATTAGATAAGCCAAACGAACAAAAAGTGTCTTGCAATTTCTCTTCCTACAAAATAAAAGTTCTCACACACCTGTCAGAGTAAAGGCCTTGCGTTAAGATCTCATTCGTCACGTCTGTAATGAACTCCAGGTACATTAATTCTTCCTCCCTGGTGAAAAGAACAAGTTCAGAAGGTCCAGAGAATGACACATGAATGAAGATGAATAAACTGAAAATACAAATGACTGTATGCATGATTATATTCATATATCATGTCAAGTACATCTTTATTTCTAAAAGTATATCAAGAATTTGAAGTGAATATCAGTGGTTTAAATGTCACATTAGTGTAATGCTTGATATATTTCAGGGGTCTGGTGCAGGACACTCACTCTGCTGAAACCTTTCTCATTATGGGAGACCTCATGCCTTCCGGTGAAATCCTGAAACAAAAGAAAAGAGCCTTTTCTTTTATATATGCCACTATAAAAATAATTTTATAGGATGATTTTATAGGATCTGCATGCTTTCTACAACTATTATAAAACCATAAGACATTTGTGTGATATACAGAAATCTGGCAGACATCATTTACCTGGAAGACGAGAGAAGAAAATCACCGTCCCTAAACCTGCTTGTCTTGCCGTGATGTCTAAATGAATCTGTTTCTTCATCCGACCACTCGTGATCGAGAGTAAATGGCTGCAAAAAGATTAAAACAAGATGTCAGTGTATTGATATTTGAGCTTCTCTTTGTCTGGATTCCAGCTCTGCTCAATATGGACATTCATCAACCAACTTCAACCACCAGCAACCAACCAATTAATCCACTTTTAACACATGCATTAAAAAAATAAACAAACAAATGCATAAATAAATAAATGATGCATAAATTAATGCATAAATAAATAATGCATAAACCAACGCAAAAATAAATGCATAAATAAGTAATTAATCAATCAGTACATAAATAAAAAAAATCAATGCATAAATAAGTAAATAAATAAATAAATCATAAATCAAACCATAAATAATACATAAATCAATTAATAAAAATTGAATGAATGAATGAACTAATCAATCAATCAATAAAAATCAGTCCATAAATAAACAAATCAATAGATAACTAAATAGGTAAATGCATAAATATATCGCATAAATCCGGCCATAAATGCATACATAAATGCATAGATAGATAGATAGATAGATAGATTATAGAGGAGTCAGATTATAGATAGATAGATAGATAGATAGATAGATAGATAGATATTTAGCAGAATGTCCCTCAAAGGTCCTTCAGACTTGCCTGGGACTCGAGCTGTGGAGAAAAGCCTCGTTTGGACCGTGTGCTGCAGACAACAGAAAAACGCCCCGTTATACTATCAGGTCTCCACAATACCATTTGAAACATAATATAATAGCTCTTTCAGTATCATTGGATATACCTCCCGTGGTACGTCTCCTGTCGGAAGATTTTAGAGGAGGATTTCTCCTCCTCAGCTTTCCTCCGTGGAGGTGTGTAATAGCGGTATTGTAAGAGCGTGGACTTGTGGTCTGATTTGAGCGTTCTCGGGGTGAAGGGTTTCTCCTGAGTGAAGCGATGAGCGTGTTTCAGCAGAACGTCTCCGCTGTAGGTCTTCTGTGTGGGATCCTGAAAGCTTCTGTATCCTCTCTGACTGGTGGCTGTGGCACAGGATGGACCCGCGGGATGCCAGTGAGGGTTTGGGTACGTCAGCTCTGAGGCGGATGGGAAATGGTTCGCAGGGGACGGATATACGATTTGTTTGGAGTGGAATGAGGTGCTGATCCTGGGTGAGGACATCAGAGATTGGTTCAGGTAATGATAGGCACTGTCGTCACCCTGAACAGAGGGTCTGCTCTGGAAACAAAGAGTGAACTTCAGTTCTGACTAGTGCTGGGCGGTATACCAGTTCATACCGAATACCGGTGTTTATTTTTGTTATGATATGAATTTTTAAAATACCGCAATACCGGTGTATGTCGCTTAAACAACGTTTGGAACGTGACACTGTTTGAAAGGGGTCCCTTTTCACTGTTGCACTGTGGTGGGTCGTGTTTAGTCACTATTTAGTGTAGTATTTTTTGACAATATTCACTCATCATGACAGTAAAATAGGGCATTCTAAGTCAATATACTGCAGTATTTCCTCTCTCAATCAGTAGAAAATATGGTTAACACCCGGTCATGCATGAAAAAAAATACCGTCATGTGCCGTGAAACCGGTATAATTTTGGAAAATACCGTGATATCAATTTTTGGTCATACCGCCCAGCACTAGTTCTGAGTACAATTTCTGCACAGCAATCTGACATAATGAAGCGCCAGACGTTATCTTACCTTCTTAGAAGTACAGGAAGTTCTTGAGTTTATCCTAGTGCTCCTCTGGGAAGTGGATCTTCCTGATTGACTCGGAGTGTCTTTCCTTAATTGCTCACGGCGCTTTTGATCAACATCTACAAAAAATATATTTTTAAAAACATAAAAAAAAAAAAAAAAAATTTAATTAGTATTAGTACAGCATATCTGGCTAAATAAATGTTAAAATATATTTTATTTGATATATTACATTTATATAAATGTAAACATTTGACATTTACACATAAATATATACATTATATTTTATATATATTAAAATAGAATGTATATATTTATATAATATAAATAGATATGGTTAAATATATTTTATAATGCATTTATATTATATACAATAATTAATTGTATTTATTACATAAACTTATATAAATTGATATTATATAAATCCATACATGAGATTTAATATCATTTAAATTGCTAAATTATTTTTGCATAAAGTGGACTTGTAAAATGTTATGTTTACTTACATTTGACATTGCTATGCATGCTTTTAGGCACTGAACAGTCCACAACAGCTAAAAGAAAACAAAAGAAGTGGTTAGTATATAAAAAAGACAAACAAGTAAGGCATAAAGGAAATGCAATGAAAAGCCAGTGGCTTGATGATAACGATGTAAAAAACTATAAGCTTAGCATCCTTGTAACGGTGGCACGTGTCTGAATTACCTTTGGCTGAATACAGCTTTCTGTAATGTGACAACATGTGGTCTTTCATCATGTACTGATTCATCAGTTTGTCAGATGCGGCAAGACAGTATCCTGCAAGAAGAATATTAGAGCCATTACAGACTATAATAATCCATCAGACACAATGAATACATCAATATTAATAAATAGTCGCCTATACTAACATCCCCATCAGAAAGCAACTAATCAAATGGTCTTAGTCTCAGATGGCATTACTTTGCTTTTACCATGGTACACTTTAAAAAATGCTGATATTAACATGATATCACAAGGGTACCATGCCTTAAAACCACGGTAATACCATGGTACTTTTTGTTTAGTGTTGTAAAGGAACATGATTTAACGCGTCTCTCTTAAATGCACATGCCATGAATGATTATAAATAGACTATAATCGTCTGGGTTTGGTCAGATTATTATATTTGATTTGGCGAATAGCATTTACCTGGTTTAGTGTCCATGATGAGAAACTCTCGCAGGAACCTCATGCTCAAAATACTCGTGTTTCACCGGAAATCATCGTTTTTAACGTTCATAATGAACGTCTGAGGTAATGCAGTCGAGTTAATAACACTTGATAAATAAATATATTTTATTATATATTCATAGATATCATCTTTCACAGATGTTTTGCAAGCTGCCAGCTATCTGTCCTCGCTACCGTGAAGCTTCGCCGTCGCCATGTTGGTTACTATGCGTGCGTCTGACGTCATGCAGTCGGTAACGTAATCACGCACATGTCCCCAACTTCAACTCGGCGGTCTTGCTATTTTTAAAATAAAATAAAATTAAATAAAAAATAAAATAAAATAAAATAAATAATATGGAATAAGCATATATGTGAAAACCTTTTGTAGTCTTACTGCCCAAATCTGGTTCTTTCTGCTAAAAGGAACGAGACTAGGGCATAGGTTTGATTTTGACATTGGTGGGCAAATACATAATAAATTATTATATTATATTATATTATATTATATTATATTATACTGCCCTAAAAATGTATGATATATATGCATTTATAAGATAGGCTTTTGACCTAATGACATCTAAAGACTTTATTTAAAGCTATGGTTGCTAACTTACGCATAATTCATAAAGATGGCGTTTTTATGTTAGCATATTCATCAGATAATAATTACACAATTTTGATTATGTAAAACCAACAACATTACAGCAGCAGTTTTAAAGATGTTTTCTTTGGATTGTTTGACCACTCAAAAGAGAATAGAACAATATAGGCATACATAAACAAAAATCTGGCTCTAAACCTCTCTCTTCTTTATTCAAATTTGATCTCCAGTCCTAGAAGCAGAGGAATCATAAAGCCGTCAAAACGGCATCTCTGCATTTATCGTGTCCTCTTATTACTTTTTTTTTTACCTGGCAGCACATCCCTTACGAAAATTAACCAAAAAAAAAAACAACAACACCATGGTTACTATAGTTAAACCATGGTAAACACAGATTGACCATGATTTTGCTACATTAACCATAATTTAATAAAAATCATGGTTAATTTTCTTAAAGGATTTATATATGTGTATACCTAATTTCTTTATTTTTTCTTTGTTTTGTTTTTATAACTGTACTGCCGTAATAGTTTGATGTTCCCTTTCGATTCGGTCACTTACATTGCTTTGGGAATTACCCTTTCCTCCAAATACTATTGAAGCCTTATTGAATCACGCAAATGAAACTGGCCAATGGCGTTCAAGCACGTGAAATATGAGGGGCTTCCACTCTATATAAGGCAGCACTTGTACGTCATCCATTCAGAGTCTTTTCCTTCAGCCAACCTTCTACGAGAAGCAAGAAGCCTATCAACAAGACTACTCACCGTGATCTATACGCTGCAGTGGACACGCCTTCTATTCCCCTGCTGTGTTCCGGTGAGCTTCGGACTCGGACAACAAGATTGACTCGCGATTGCCTCTTCTGCGCAGAGCCAATCGAATTTTCTGATGGCCACGAATCGTGCATCTTCTGCCTGGGTCGCACACACGCAGAGGCGGCGCTTGGGGGGCCGGACTGCCCCCACTGCGGAGATATAAGCCTCCGGACTCTCAGGCTCCGTGTGGCCATCGTCCAAGGCGATGAACTTGCCCAACTAGCCCTGCCGCGCTCTTCCTCTGCAGCCTCTTTCGAGCCAAGGAGGAAAGTGCCGCGAGCTTCTGATGCGGATCTGTCAGGGTCAGGTGACAAGCCCGCGCCTGCTCAGTGCCCACGCGCTCCTCAGCCCCCTCCTGCAGGCCCCCTTCCAGTGCGCTTCATGACCGCTGATCTCCGCCCCTCCCCCGACGCTCAAGATGTGGTGTCCTTCGGCGCCATGGAGGGCGCTGAAGAGAAGGATGATGCCATTTTGGCCAGCGCCGAAGACGAGCCACTGAAGAAGTCTGCTCGCCCCGCTGTGTGTGTTCACCACGCCTCCTTGCCTGTTGCGGGTGGTGAGAGCAATTGTCATGTTTGTGTTTTGACTGTACCACTACGCAGTGCAATAAATCCTCTCACACATCAGACAGAGAGATTGGTTTATCTCTGTGGATTTAAAGGATGCTTATTTTCACATTCAGGTAGCCCCTCGCCACAGGCGTTTCCTGAGATTTGCATTCGAGGGGATAGTGTACCAATTCTCGGTCCTACCCTTCGGCTTATCCCTGGCTCCACATACATTCACGAAATGCATGGATGCTGCTCTCTCTCCTCTGAAGCAGAGCGGAATGCGCATCCTGAACTATCTTGATGATTGGCTAGTCTTAGCCCAATCAGAGAGCGCGCTGCTCAGCGACAAGCTCAGACTCCTCGCTCATCTTCAGAGCTTAGGGCTGACTGTGAATATGCAAAAGAGCATGCTGTTACCGAGCCAGAACATCTCCTTTTTAGGAGTGGAGCTGAATTCAATCAATATGCTAGCGCATGGCGCGTGGGCACCTTGTGCATCAAAGTGACGCGCGACTGCTGGGATGCGCTGACCCATTGACGCGATATGATTCTGTATCGCTGGGGTGTTCTTATTGGCTAAGTGATCAGAAGAAAGACTGTTACGACAGATGCATCGAGCACGGGCTGGGGAGCCGTATGCGACGACAGACCAGCCTTCAAGACTTGGTCAGAAACAGGAGAAGTTGTGGCACATAAACTGTTTGGAGCTCCGTGCTGTAACCTAGTGCTCGAGTGCTTTCTCCCGGACATTCTCCACTGTCACATTCTCATCAGGATGGACAGCATGACAGTGGTATAAATCACCAAGGGGGTGTGAGCTCGCGGCTGCTGCTGCAGCTGGCGAGAGATCTTCTTCTGTGGGCAGATCGACACCTCCTCTCCATCCGTGCAGTACATGTCCCCGTACGCCTGAATTATGGTGCAGACTTAAGCCCCGTTCACACCGCCAGCGTCACACAGCGACAGAGCGACATAATCCCATTCATTTTCAATGGAGAGCTGGCGACTTCCGGCGACACGAGCGACAGTGGCCGTTGGCGACGGAATGTGGGCGTGTCAAGCGATGCGAGTCAAGCGACAAAAGTTCAGAATTCTTCAACTTTATGCAAATAAGCAGCGAATTTCACGAGCGACAACCAATGGGAGTGAAGTCAGTGGAGAGCACGTGATTCATCTGTTGTAGTGGAGTGTTACAGGGGTAACTAGGCAACCAGTAGTGGGAACGCCCACTAGCGACCTCAATTGCCAGCCACAAGCGACAAGCAGCGAAAAAGTCGCTGGCGGTGTGAACGGGGCTTTATTGTCGAGGGGCGGACTGATCCATGGGGAGTGGAGACTACACCCTTTGACAGTCAATATGATTTGGAGTGTATTCGGCAGGGCGGAGGTGGATATCTTCGCATCAGCGGAGAACATTCACTGCCCGCTGTTTTATTCACTGACACACTCTCCCCTGGGAGTGGATGCACTAGCTCACAGCTGGCCGAAAGTACGCAAGTATGTCTTTCCTCCAGTGAAACTTCTGCCTCGCGTGCTTTGCAAAATCAGAGAGGACAGACAATCTGTTCTGTTAATGGCACCGAAATGGCCCAATCAGCCGTGGTTCCCAGAATTGGTGCAGATGCTGGAAGCCCCCCTGTGGACTATCCCACTGAAGAGAGACCTCCTCTCTCAAGCACAGTTAACGATATGGCACCCAAATCCAGAGTCATGGAGGCTTCATGTCTGGCCGCTCGACGGAGCTTGCCTGTAACAGATGCACTTCCTCAGCGCGTGTTGAACACTATCTCTGAGGCTAGGGCTCCTTCCACTAGACGTTTTTACGCACATAAATGGAGAGTTTTCACAAATTGGTTCGGGTCACGGGGCGAAGACCCATTCAACTTCCCAATACCAATCATTCTCACCTTCCCTCAAGAGCGATTTGATAGTGGTCGTACACCATCCACATTGAAAGTGTATGTGGCCGCTATAGCAGCTTTCCATGCGCACGTCGATAATCGCCCAATCGGCAGAAATGCCCTGATCATACGATTTTTAAAAGGACCAAAATGGCTGAACCCTCCTCAAGAGAGCACTCCTGCTCACACTGGCCTCTGTAAAGCGAGTTGGCGACCTGCAGGCGCTGTCAGCTGACGACTCGTGTATTGAGTTCGGGCCAGGTGATCGCAGACTCACCTAAAAGCCTAGGAAGGTTTATGTGCCTAAAGTGCTTTCGACTCCATTTAAAGTGCAGGTCATAACACTATCTGCTTTCCGTCCCGAAACATCGGCCTGGCCGGAGCCGCTTAATACACTCTTGCTGTGCCCTGTACGTGCGGTGCGCATTTATATTGAGCACTCTAGGCAGTTAATTTGTATGCTTTGGAGGGTGCACAAAAGGCCTGCTTATGTTGAAGCAAAGGCTGTCGATCGTCGATGCAATTGCTTTGGCTTATAGCTCTAAGGGTGTCTAAGGGTCAAGATTCTGAATGGATGACGTACAAGCGCTGCCTTATATAGAGTGGGAGCCCCTCATATTTCGCGCACTTGAACGCCATTGGCCAGTTTCACTGGCATGATCCAATAAGGCTTCAGTAGTATTTTGAGGAATGGGTAATTCCCAAAGCAATGTCTCATTACCTCATCTCAGGGAAGCGAGGTTACGTATTAGCGTTTAATAAAAAAAAAGAAATCAGCAAAGAAGATTTGCGATACACGCTCTGAAGTCCCGATCTGAATCAAATGATTCGCAAAATCACAACGAAATCCCGATCTAAATCAAATGGTTCACGATTCACGCTCCGAAGTCCCGATCTGAATCAAATGATTTGTGGACTCGCTACGAAATCCTGATCTAAATCAAATGATTCACAATTCACGCTCCGAAGTCCCGATCTGAATAATGATTCGCGAACCATCATTTCAGATCGGAGAGCGTATCACGAATCTTTCAATTCTCAAAATAATTCACGAACCTGCTATGAAGTTTCGATATGAAACAAAAGATTCATGAACCCGCTCTGAAGCAAGTCCCGATCTGAATCAAATAATTTGCAATTTGCTATCCAATTGGAGTGCTTCTATTTCTTTTCTTTCTTTTCTTTCTTTTTTTTTTTTTTTTTTTTGATTGGAGTGCTTCTAACCAGTGAATCATTTTGCGAATCATTTTGGTTTAATGGTGAATCTAAAATTGTAGAAAATATGATCATATTACCCCAATTTTACAGTCTCTGCACTGGCTACCTATTAAGTTCCGTATCAGTTACAACACATTATTACTTGCCTATAAGGCCCTTAAGGGGTTAGCTCCAGCGTACCTAACTACCCTTCTACCACGCTACAATCCATCACGCTCCCTAAGGTCGCAAAACTCTGGACTTTTGGTAGTACCTAGGATAGCAAAGTCCACTAAAGGAGGTAGAGCTTTTTCGCATTTAGCTCCCAAACTCTGGAATAGCCTTCCTGATAACGTTCGGGGTTCAGACACATTCTCTCTGTTTAAATCTAGATTAAAGACACATCTCTTTGGCCAAGCATTCAAATAATGCATATCATAATCTTGTACTGCAGTTATATCTGATCAAATGCACATTATAATTCTTTAGTTTGGGTTAAACAAATCAATTTTGCTTGGTTGGAACAGCAGTTTGATTACGTCTTTAATTGACTTTTCCGTACATTTCTGCCATATGTACATTAACTGACAGTCACCACTGATAAGCTACCACTAAATATTGTAGGAACGTAATTTGCTGTAAAGTTGCTTTGCAATGATTTGTATCGTGAAAAGCGCTGTACAAATAAACTTGAATTGAATTGAAAATTGAAACTTGAATCGAGTTATAGGAAATAAGGAATCAGTTAGGAACAGGAAATCAGTTGAAAGCATCCAGTCATCACATACCACTGAAGTGAATGTTGAATTTATATTGTTGTATCTGATTGTATTAGTCCATTAAAGAATGATAGTCATAACAGCAGACATCACCCCCTTCCCATCCAACTACCCCAACATTTCTGCATTTATGATAGACTTTTGACCACAGTTTCATGTCATCTAAAGTTTATTGCAATTATAGCAAACATACTCTAAATTAATAAAGAGAGCTTTTTATGTCAGCATCAGAGCATTATGTGTCTTAATTGGGCTGTATATCATTTTATTTTAATATTAAAAATAAATTGGACCAATGATGATTCTGACAGAAAACTCGCTGAATATTGGTAGGGACATGAAGCATCTCTATACTAAATTTACACCCTTGGAATGAAGCGAAATAAGATTGAATATGAAGTTGGAGTAATATTTTGTAATATGTGAATGAACTTAATTGCAAAATCACTGCATGCAAACATATGTAGACTACAGAGACAATTTTAAACACAAATTTGTAAACTGTCTCTCATAAAATATGACAACGCAAAATATGAGACAGTCAAAGTGTAAAAATATCTAATAAATAAATCTCTAAAGGTATATTGGAGTAAACAGATTTACCAAGATTTGTGTTCATTTGAGACTGAATATTTCATATACAGAAATGCACATGTGGTTATGATGTCATGCCATTACTAATAGATGTGGAGTCTTAAGGAGGTTCAGTACAGTCTCATCCATATTTCATGAGGAATATCCGGGGGGTTCCCGCTCAATGCATACAGAAGACATCAGCAAATGATGATGAAGAACTATATCCTTGCTGTAAACGTGATTTCACAGAGCTGAGCATGAGACAGCATAATTAGCATCTCAAAGACATCTCACATTTAAATACTCGTAAAAAAATAAAAAATAAAATAAAATTTCTAATATGGAAGAGTGATATTATTATTATACAGAATACACATGATATTTAATGTGTTATTAATTCTATATTAACAATATGCTGTTAAATATTGTATAATATTATTGTCCTATTATATATATATAAGGCACAGTAACAGTCATGGGTTAAATTATATTATATGAATATATAATATAAATTATATGAATATACTCTGTTGTGGTTTTTACATTATTCTGTGAGTGTATATGGCTTAAAATATTCTTATGTGATTGAATATTATTTAGATTTAAATACATTTTATTACATTTTAAAACTATTAAAATATATTAAATTTTTGCAAAAAAAAAAAAATGCATATATGATTTACAATACAGAAAAAAATGAGTGATAGCTGATGGCAAAAGCTAGTGCTAATTTAATTGTAATATTATTATTATATTTAACATAATATTTGCAACATAAATTATATTGTCATATTTAAATAATAAATACATAAATATAATTAATATTATTATTAAATGATTAAATATCTATATTATGATATTTAACAGCATGTAACATTAAATATTATATAATATTGTCATATTTAGTTTTTTTAAATGATTAAATATAATTTATATGATTATTAAAGAATTAAATAGGACTATTAATATAATATTTAACAATATGCAATGTTAAATATTCTATAATAACATTGTTTTATTATTTAAATAATTAATAAAAAAAGTAAACAAAATGTAATATTATTATTAAATAATTAACTATGGCTATTATTATAAAATAAATAATAAAAATTATGCAATGTTAAATATTAGATAATAACATTGTTTTCATATTTACTTCATAAACATATGGTATTCTATAGCAGTAATGGGTAAATTCATATGATTTTTACATTATTATGAAGGCGTGTATGGTTTGAATACAACACAGTCGAAATGAATAATTCATATTTGTGTGTAATCGTTGATTTGCTGCTGGCGAGTAAAGTCCAGCCCTCCGCACCTACTCGCCATGTGCACCGGCTCTGTGCCGCTTCTGTGCCGCATTCACCGCGATGACCAGTGAGTATCACTTCTATCTGTCAAGCTCAACACGACGCGATCATATCTCAGTTATTATAACGAACACGAATCACTAAAGAGCTGTTTTGATGACTTAAAGCCTGTGGGAATCATGGCACAAAGGATGAGAGGCTGAAACAAAGGCGAGTGCAGAGACGCTCCCAGGTTCTCAGAACATGTTTAGCGCTTTATTTGCTTTCCTCAAAGTGATGCCAAGCTGCTGAGAGAGATGTTGGGTGGTCTCACACTGACGGACAGTGTAGAGAGACTGAGAGAGTAAGGCGTGCAGCTCTCGCACCTCTCCTCCTCATCCTCATCCCTGCGCTCGTGCTTGTTCTGAGACAGAAGCGAGAATGTGAAGTGTTATACTAGTCTCTCTGAACTGGGTGCATGCTGTTAGAAAAGCTTGATTTCGCTCTGATCATGAAATTCCCGCTAGAGAATCCGAGGAAACAGGTGAACTGGGACCCTGAACAAGGTTAGTTGTGTTACTTGGTTATTTCACTCAAGTTCATTATTTATTTACTGCATTTGAGGTTTTGTTGCACTTTATAATGAGAGAAAACATTTCATTTAAGTTTGGTCTGATTATTGCTGTTGTTTTTGTTGTTTTTTTAATCATCAGATTTATTTTTCTTTCTTTCCTCACACACACACACACACACACACACACACACACACACACACACACACACACA